TTATGGCATCCCTCCTCCCTCCATGTGCAAATCTACAGCGGATTCATGCTCAGTTAATAAAACAACTATTAACTCCACCTTCATTAGCCGCATTTTCCTTCAAACTTTCTACAGACAATGATCAGGAGTAAAAAATATTAAGAAATCTAAGCGAATATAGAAACGAAGAATGCTTGGAATGAATGTGCTCGAATCAGTGCTTACCTATTATACCGATACCTGGGAAATGCAAGCTGCAACAGTCCGCTGCTAAAATCAGGTCAAATGACATGCATAACCATTAGAGAAATGTACCTCGCATTTCGACTTTATAAAAACTCTCTAGCCAAAAACTGAATGAGCATATCAGGATTCTATTTTGAATCGGCTGGTACCTAAACAGGCAGAAAAGTCCATGTATAAACCATACATATGGACATGCACAGGCTGCAAGAAGAACATCAATGATCATCGCCCAACAAACAGGACACACTTAAGACCTAGGGATCGATGGCAGCATGAGATGAGGAAATTTATTAGAGCAGCAACGCAGAAGAGGAATGCAGAAGACAGAACTTCGTGGCAAATTCTTGCAGTGAATCGAAAAAGCCTGATGATATACAACAGAAACATGAACGAGTCATATTCGAGCACAACCAATCAGTTCTTATAAGCATGAACTTAACTTGATTTTTCTAAATGATCTGTCGATACTCAAGGAAATTTCGCAAGTACCGGCTGATCAGATGTCTTTTGCATGGACATCACTTGTTTCATCAAACGTCACATCACTGCAGAGAGCTACGTAAATAAGAGATGCAGGGCCGGAGGTTCTAGAGAAATTAAAAATATCAGAAAAATGGATTATTACCATTGTCCTTACCACCACGCTGACTTGCGACTACACCTATTGGAGGTAGCAGATCAAAATGTAACCAGTGACTATGAGAAAAGGTTAGACTCAACAAAGGCTAATAGGAAACGAATCGGACAATAAAATATCAGATGGAGAAAAATGTTCTAACATATACTCACAGATCAGATTGATAAAATTGAAGCAAAATGGAGACGGTTTAACTTTAATATAGCAAACCTCCATCGGCAAGAAAGAGAAACCTTGAGGTAAACGTCACTCCGACAGTATCTGTTCCGAGCAATATTGTTGAAGCTAATTTGAAGACCATTTCAGCAAACTGAATCGGCAGAAGGAAGCATATAGAGGCAAAAACCATTTCATACAAAACAGACATCATATC